TAATACCCTATCATATATCACTTTTAAACTGTGCTCTCCCTCATTTGTTTCAATGCAGTATACATAATTTACCCAGTTTTTCTCAGTCTTACCCCAACCCTGATGTCAGTTCCATTCTACCACAGTAGCACCATGAAGTGTTTGTCTTTTTGTGACTGAGATATTTCACTCAGCATAGTGTCCCCAAAATGATACATCATCAAAGGGGAAACATGTGCCTGGGGACACAGCTCAGAAGGCAAGAAAAGGTTGATTAGACAATGAATGGGAGGTCCAGAGGTGAAGGAGGAAACTGAAGAAAGTGGAAGGAATGTTGCTTTTAATGAGGATTGAAATCAATACACTGTTGAATTGAAAACAAATTTATTCTGCAAAATCACTCAAATTACAATAAAAAAATTTAATGAGGAACTAATTTGCTACCAGAAACAGTATTTTCTAACCATTTGCTTTTTAACTTAAAATGTACTTTTGAAATTACTTCAGGTTCTTCCAGTCATCATATCACTGTTACTTGTTTGTATTCTTGTCTTTGTTGAGAAAGAGGTAGAATTACGTACAGACTCATCAGATCAGTGTATTCCCAAACATAATTTTGTTTTCTCTTCAGACCACATCTTCAGCTTCAATCAATGGAAAAGAAAAAGATAATCCAGTAAAATTGTTTGATATCATTACCATATGCTGGTATTAAAATATTTCTAAGACATTTTATACCCTCCCTGTCTCTCTTTACTCCTCGCTCACAGACACATGCATACACATGAGTGCTGTGGGCACTGACAGGTACACTAGTACCTCACATGTTGCCTCTTGGGAAAAGAAGCAACCTTATTTGGAAGAATTTGCTGAAGAAATGACTTACCAATTATTTTAACTGTGCCATACTTTTAAGGGTATAAAAAATGCATAATGACTACAGAACACTTTCGAAAACAGACACATTCATAATAAATGCTGGCCTTTAAGACTGATCAATAATTATTTACAGTTTAACATCTGCATTCTGGGCCATTTCCTCAATTGTTGGGTTGCCAGATAGGTTATTTTTTAATGGAGGAATAAAATGTTTATATCTATTATATTCTTCTTCCTTGCTTTTTAGGTGTTTTTTTTTTTAATTTTATACTAGTTTACATACAAAGTTTATTAAATTTGTATACATTGTTTTTCACACTGGATATTTCCTTTTTCATTTACCCATCCCTCCCTCCCCGCATCAAATTGTGTGACTCTATGAGTAAGCCTCCCTTTCCTCTCACTGGATCCTAGTACTCGTTCTACAATAATGGTCTTATGCAGTATTTGTCCTTAGGAGACTGAGTTAGTTCACTTAGCATAATACTCTCCAGTCCCTCCTGTGCTAGGCAGTAATTGATGAAATTATTGCTTCTGTGTGCTGCGTAGTATTCCATTGTGTGAATGTACCATAATTTCTCAGCAGGACAGCAAGTAATAAATGTGGGAGAAGATGTGGCAAGATTGGAGCTCTTATACGTTGTTTATGGAATTGTAAGATGGTACAACCACTCTGGAAGGCAATTTGGCACCTCCTCAAAAAGATGAATGTAGAAATTCCATATGACCTAGCTATTCCACTGCTTGGAATATACCCTTAGAAAATGAGAACTGAGACACAAGCAGAGACTCATACACCAATGTTCATAGCAGCATTATGGAAATAGCCCAGATGTCTAACCATAATGGAGTAGATTGAGAAATTATGGTACATTCACACAATAGAAGTTATTTTTCTTCCTATGTCTTTCTTTTGTATTACAGTTTTTTGACTAAAATATCTTACTAAATTCTTAACGTCTGAAACTGATACTAGATGGTACTTAGTTTTTATTGTAATATGTTTGCTGGTAGTAAACATTTTTTTTAAAGTAGTAACATTAAAATATGATAATGCGAATGGAGAAGAAATTCTTTTTATGAAGTTGTTATATTAGTAATGATTCTTGTTTACTTATATTCTAGAACACAGATCAACTTCACAGTAGCTATTGATTTTACTGCATCAAATGGTAAGTATTATGGTGATTTCTTTAAGATCTATGATTAAGGTCCCCCTCTCCCCTCCTTGGATCCTTGTACTCATTCTACAATAATGGTCTTATTCAGTATTTGTCCTTATGAAACTGAGTTAGTTCATGTAGCATAATGTTCTCCAGTCTGTCCCATGTTAGGTAGTAATTTATGAAATCATTGCTCCTGTGTGCTGCATAGTATTCAGCAACTAAGTGAAAATCTTTGTGAAGGAGAGAGCTCTTACTACATTTATATACTTTCGATTTTTCGTATGAAATTCACAGTGGATGCCCTTTCTTTGTAAAATAAAATAGGTCACATAAAGAAAGGCCTATGTAAATTGTAGCAGAAATATGTAATACTTTCCTTTAGGCTGTTAAATGCTGAAATACTTTTGCTTCTGAAGGAATAGAAGTTTCGGATACAGTTAATGTTTACCTTTCTCTATTCCTCTGCCATCCCTTCTTCTCAACACGTAATTACAGCTGTAGAATGTGTATATTTTTAATGCTCATATTTTTAATCTTTTGCATATATTCATTCTCAGAAATATGTTCTTAATGAACATTCACTCCATAATTTTATTTTAAAAATAAGCCATGTTAATAATTTCTTTTTCAATGTTTATATGGACTGTTATGTGTAACACATACAACAACACTGAAAACTCATTACTGTCAAGTTGGAAAAAGCTCAGAGCTGACTTCCTGTGAGTTTCTACAGTTATAACTCATGCAGAAGGAGACTACCTATGTGTGGATAATAATTTATATTTTAGACATTTTAGGAAAGAATGGGTTGTGGTGGGTTGTTTTTTTTTTTTAATTTTGAAGTTACTTTCTTCTAAACAGAGAAACCATTTGTAGAAGATGAGAATCACTATTTTACTTTTATCAGAAGTTGCCACAAGAGTTTCAAGGGTTTTGTTTGTTTGTTTTTATTTTAATCGTTTCTTGTCCTATGGCACTCACATATGCTTTATCACAATGACTTATATTTCACAAAGTAATGTTTTTGAGTAAGGGAAATACCTTAAAGAACTACTCAAATCCAGAAAATATGTTTCGTGAGAAGTATATCTTAGCTACTATTTCTAGCTAGAAAAAGAGCTATACATAAGGAAGTCATTTCATGATCTCTAAGGTACACTACATGGTTCCAGATTGGAACCAGTGATGTGTCCTCCATACATTTTCAATCTGTTTGTGGAAGAGATCATTCGAGAAGCTGGACTTAATGAGGAGAAATATGGCATCAGAATTGGAGGAAGACTCATCAATACCTGCAATATGCAGATGACACTACCTTGCCTGTCAAAACTGAGGACTGACATAGTGACTGGGGTCATGGAAATAGGTGTGTCAGAGACAGTGATACTGGCTCCAGATAGGACAGAGTTCAGAGCTATTGTGCATAGGGTCACTATGAATCTCAGGCAACTTGATGGCACATAACAACAAGGAGGTACGTGCTTACCATAAAAAAATATCTACTATTTTGTGAAATGTACATCATCGTGAGAAATGCAAGCCAAAGGACAGGAAGCCATTTTAAAATTGGTGACAACTTTGTCAAGTAGTTAAAAATTAGAAGAAATTAAATAATGGTTAAAAAAATAGAAGAAACTATAAGCTGTTCACACAGACTACTGACTAATGAAGAAATGAACCTGTAACAGGAGATAGAAGTAGCATAAAAATTTCTACTCACAATGTAAATTTCAAGCCAGATGTCATCATTGGTGAATACTATCAAGTACAAGAGTTAATGCCATCTCTTTTCAAACATTCCAAACACGGATGAAGATGGAACATTATAAAGTCATTTAGTGAGACCAGCAACACCTAGATATTGTTGTTCTTGTTGTATACTATCTAGTCACTTGTGACTCATGTCCACCCTGTGTACAGCTCTGAACCCAGCTCTATTCTGAGACAACCTCATTGTCTCCAACACACCCACCCCCTTACCCTAGTCACTGAGTCAATCCATCTCATCCAAGGTCTTATTTCTTGCACAATCCCACCCCTCTGCCAAGCATGATGTTTCACCCTTTCCAAGAAAGACCTATTTGTTTTCTTCAAGGTCTATAGTATGTTCAAGGCTTTTATTCCCCAACACCACAACTCAAAGGCATTGATTCTTCTATCAACAGTAATCATTGTCCAGCTATCTGATGCATTGCAAATAATTGCAAAGACCATGGCCTGGATCAGGCGTACCTTAGTCTCCAGACTGACACCATTACTCATCATGACCTCTCTGGAGAGGTCCTTGATTTTCCCAGTGCAATTCGTCTCTTGATTTTCTGGCTACTCGTACCAAGAATGTTGACTGTGGAGCCAAGCAAGCTGAAGCTCTTAACAATCTCAGTCTCTTCTCTCTCTATTATGATGTTGCCAGTTGGCTCAGTGGTGAGAATGTTTGTTTCCTTGATGTTGAGCTTCAATTCATAGTGAAGGCTGCAGTCTTTGACCAGCAGCAAATGCCTCAGATCCTCCTCAGTTTAGGCAAGCAAATTTGTATCATCTGCAAAACACAGGTTGTTGATAAGGCTTCCTCTAATCCTGATGCCACATTCCTCTTCATAGAGCCCAGCCGCCTTGATGATCTATTTCAGATATAGATTGAAAAAGTATGGAGTTGGGATACATCCCTGGAATGCACCTTTCCTGGTTTTGAACTGTGCTATGTCTGACAGCTGCCTCCTGGTCCAAGTATGGCTTTCACATAAGCACAGTCAGGTGTTCTGGGATTCCTGTTCTTCTCAAAGTTATACACAATTTGTTGTGACCCACATAGTCAAATGCTTTTGCATAGTCAATGAAACACAGATAGAAAAACTACCTTGATATTTAAACTATATAAAGACATCACAAGAAAAAAACCTCCAGCCTAGAATTTCTTATGAATATGGATATTGTTATAAATTGAATGGTGTTCCCCAGAAATATGTGCCAGACAGACTAGATTACAATTTTCAACATTATGTAATGGTGAAAATATAGTGCTCCACACACTATGTATTGTTAAGTCCTAACCTGAATGATGTTAAGAAGGCAAGATTAAAACAGTTGTTAGTGAAGCAGAATAAGATCTGCAGGATTAAGTTGTACCTTGAGTTAATCTCTTTTGAAACAGAAAAGAGACTTTATAAAACAGTATAGATTTGAGCAAGAGAGAGGACCTGGAAATGGAGTACGTCTTTGTGATCCAGAGTCTTTATGCTGAGAATCTCCAAGACCTAGGATGAGATTGTTGTCAAGATGAGTGAGGATCTCCTGGCAACTCTAGGCACATAGATGTTGAAATAAGACCTTTTCTCAGTGTCAACAGAGAAATAAAGCCTTCCTTTAGAGCTGGCTGCCTACATTTGAAAGATGGGCAGTCCCCTCCCTTGCAGTTTACAGCATCCGAAAACTCACTGGAAGATTAGCTATGAGTCACTTCCAACTCAACAGAAATGCATTTTAGAGGGTTTTTTTTTTGTTTTGTTCTTTTTTAAATACCCTCTTAAACTGTAAGAGAATAAATTTTTGGTTTTGAGTCACCCACTCTTCTGGGTTTTTTCTGCACTATATAAGTAAGACAAAAAAATTCGTACCAGGTATAAAGATGCTGCTCTAACATAAGCCTAAAATGCAGGAATAGTTTTGAAATTGATTGATAGCTTGGAGCTAGAAGAATACACAAGAGCCTCAAAAGAAAATGGAAGGTATATATATATATATAGTCACTTTAACAAAAAGAATTGGTCAACAGTAAACAATTTCAGAAAACTATACAGGGAACAATCAGTGCTACTGACACAAGAAGTCCAGGCTGCTCTGAAGCCATTGGCAAGCTATACATTTTGAGAAATTGACAGAAGGCTGATTGAGATGTTTCAGCAAGCACATGCAAGCCCTGGACATGCTCAGTCATCTATGAGAATGAATAATTATTGAATATTATCATAGTAAAATTTTGCTGCAGATTATGGGGAAAAATGAATAGAGCAGTATATTGACAAAGAAATTACAATTGTTCAGGCTGGATTCAGAAGAGATTATGAAAAGAGGGATTTCTCTGCTGACATCAGAGGATCTTGGCTAAAAGCAGAGAAAACCAGAAAGATGTTCCTTTGTGCTGTATTAACTACTCAAAGACATTTAACTGGGTGGATCATAATAAATTATGGATAGCACTAAGGAGAAAGAGATTTCTGCAAAAAATGCAAGGTTGAATTAACATTCAGAAATCAACTTGTGTAAATATACAAATATACAAAATGTCCTTATTTGCATCTAAAGAGCACTCTGGCTGAGCTTTCTCCAAGACGTATGGTTGTTATTTTTGTAGTCCCTGGGATAGTCAGTACTCTTTTTCAATACCAGAACTTTAAGGAATTAATCCTTCTTCTGTTCTCCTTATTCATTTTTTAGCTCTCAAATAGGACTGTAAAATCTTGAAGTCACTTTGGCCAACAATTCGGCAGTTACAAGATAGTTAAATCTAACAGTTACCATAAGACCCTGCAGTTCTACTCTTTTCATTTCAAAAAAGTGAAGGCATATATCCATACCATGTAAAAAACTTTTACATAAATATGCATAGAATATTCATAATCTTCATAATTTCAAACAATCCAAATGTTCTTTAGTAAACAGTTTATCAAAAGAGTGAGGTATTGATACATGCCACATCATGTTGAAATTTGAGATTATCAAATTAAGTCAAACAACTAGACTACATACTATATGAATATTTTAGAGAAAAAATGGAACTCAGTTGGCATAATATTTAATGTATCAAGCTGCTCACTAAACTGTTAGCAGTTTGAATCCACCAGGTGCTCAGTAGTAGAAAGCCTTCTCCCAAAAAATTTCATATCCTCAGGCTTAAAGGCTGATTTCCCTCCATGAGGAAGATTGCTCTGGGGGAGTGGTGTTTTCTTCATATAAACAATTCTGGTGATACAGTTTTTAAACTTGACTGCTAATCAAGAAGACTGCCT